CTGTGCAAAACAGATACCTTCAAATAAAGTTCATTTATTTTCCTCTTCAGATTCCAGGTAAGAGAAACACTTATTGAATGTGTCCAGGAGAGTCTGAGTAAACATAATGGACTAACTGAACACTGATAAATCTTATTTTCTGATAAATAATAATTGAAAAAAATGAGCTTCATTCATCGGCTAATAATCAGACTGACAAAAATAATGTCGTCTGATTAATAATCATGCAATATGTGAACATGTAGGGTCCTTTGTGGAGAATAACAAAGCTCTGAGTTTGAGAGTGATGTAATGTCCATGTCTCCATGCTGCTCTGACCCCCCCCCCCCCTCTTTCAGGGTGGAGCCTGCTGGAGTCCGATGGTTGAGACACGGTCTGAGGAAGTGTGAGTGTGATTTAATTTGATTCATGAAAACAAAGCAGCCACCATCTTCAAATGTAACCTTCATCATCAAAGTGTCAATAAATGAACAGCTGATAGATGAATAACTGCTGCTGTTCCTCTCCTCAGATTCCTGTGAACTCTCACTCGACACAAACACAGCACACAGAGAACTCAAACTGTCTGAGGACAACAGGAAGGTGACATGTGTGAGGAGGAGCAGCCATATCCTGATCATCCAGAGAGGTTTGATTACTGGTATCAGCTGATGTGTAGAGAAGCTCTGACTGGTCGCTGTTACTGGGAGGTCGAGTGGAGAGGATGGGTTACTATATCAGTGACTTACAGAGGAATCAGCAGGAGAGGAAAGAGTGAAGACTGTTTGTTTGGAAGGAATGATCAGTCCTGGAGTCTGAGCTGCTCTGATGGTCGTTACTCTGTCTATCACAATAACAGAGTAACACACATCTCCTCCTCCTCCTCCTCCTCTGGTAGAGTAGCAGTGTATCTGGATCATCCTGCTGGCTCTCTCTCCTTCTACAGAGTCTCCTCTGAGACACTGATCCACCTCCACACCTTCAGAACCACATTCACTGAACCTCTCTATGCTGGGTTTGGAGTTTGGCTCTGGTTCCTCAGTGTCTCTGGTTCCTCTGTAGGAGGAAGAGTCTCCTCCTGTTCCAGAGACTTCCTCCCTGCTGCCCAGAGAGTTCAGTCTGTTCAGGATCACAGCTGATGTTAGTTAGTACCAACCTGATGAGTTTACTGTAATAGAGGAGGAAGGGGAGGCTGAGGGAAGAGTTTAGGATGTTGGGAGGAAGTGAAACAAAAGTACAAACATACAAAAATGTCAAACAGTAAACTGGACTGGACTGAATATCCCAGCTGAATTCAATCAAAATAAGAGATGACTTTAACCAAGCCAACCAACTACAATACATCACCAAATGGTCCCATACATAATAAAGGATCATATAGAAGTGTAAAAGTCTTTGTTGATAATCAATCAACAATATATATTATTACTGTTTACTACAGTTTATCATTGTTTCATTGTTTAAACACAAATGCTGCAACAAAATCAAAAAGAAAAAGCATGCAGTCGATTGAAATGGTGTCTTTGAGGGGAAAATACAATACAGTGAGACAGCTATGTGTAGGCCTGGGACCAGCCACAGTGACCCTGAAGAACTGTGGGTTTTTCTGTGCTTCTGTGCTCTTGTATGTTTTCTTTTAATGCCATCGACCTGCCAGTGAATGCAGATGAAAATTAAAACTGTGCGCTATGTGTATACATTTTCGAAAAAATTCTGTCCATCCGTTCTTGAGTTATAAATGTGTGGTGTTTTTGGCAAAAACGTTTTAATTAATGGCAGCCATATTTTTTGACTGATCAAGCTCATATCCCATGATAATGTGTATGACCCTCCGCCGATGCTGTATACCCATTTTGGTCTTGATGGACTCAAAATTGAAATGTAGGTACATATTTTTAATGGTTTCACATTATGCTAATTAGCAAAACATCTAAGTAGGCGGAGCTTACGGGTTCTTGGGGGGTTTTTGTATCGGAACTGGTAGCTGGTCTAAATAATAATGATCTGCAGGAAAACACTTGGTGCTAGGACCCTAATTAGCCTCTAACTACTAGGGAATATGCTAGATAGTGTGACTGTCATGTGTAGGACTGGGAAGAGCCACAATGAGCCATTCCCCCTAAGCACTGTGGCTCTGAGGGGAATGTACTATCTAGAGTTCAGCATTCCTTCAGAAAGTATATAGACAATGAAAAAGCTATGACTCATGAATAAACTAGCTCAGCATGTCATGATCTTACTTTTTGTGTTTAGTATTTACAGTTTTATTTTGAAATGTATTTCCTCTTCTGTGTATTCTGGACTTCATGGCATTCCGCGCAGATGTTACCTTGAGAAGAGAGGACAAAATGTCTGCCAGAGGCCAGAAGCCTTTTTGACGGAGATCTGTCAGCTAGGTTAGAGACAGCTGCTTCTTACAGCCCGTCCACACACAGGCATGAAAAAAACTTGAAAAATCGTGAAGCTGGGCGTGTCTGAAGCTTGGCGATTTTTTGCGAGCAACGCGACCAACAACCAATCACATGAATCTCCCGCCCCCGACATACAAAGCAATAGCAATGTTAAAACGAAGTAAACTGGATATAAACTCCCCAAACAGGCGAAAACCTACCAGTTTCACCCACTGTCTCTTCCACCTCCCTCCAGGTTCCTCCGGTTTGTATACCGGTAAATAGTTCTGGTCGTAAAGAACCGGGTGATTTGCTACCGTAATTACTCGTTTGGAATATGAGGAAATGAACTGCAGTCTGGCTCTCCCAGCTTGCACGCGGTTTGATTGGCTAGCGCTTGCACTGCCGGGATTTGCATAAACGGGATTTGATTGGCTGATGCCACCAGCATCGAGCATCAAAAGTTGAACATTGCTCAACTTTTGATGCTCACGATGCTTGGATGCTTGCAAAGCCATGCCACGCTCCCCACAATGCAGTTCGGCGAAGATTAAAAATCTTCTACGTCACCCTTTTCAAGTGAATGGGCGAAGCTTTGAAAGATTTTTTCATGCCTGTGTGTGAACGGGCCGTAAGACATTAGAATTGAAATATAAATATAAAATATAAAAATACAGATTAGATAAATGAAGCTCAGCGCAAGTTCAACCAGGAAGGCCGTCTTTACTCATTCATTTCCTATGTCAATGTTACTACTCTCTCTCCTCTCAATAAGTGATCGGGGGCGTCACTCCCAGCTTAACCAATCACTTCGCTCTATTCCCATAAGCCTATCATAGCGCTCCGCTAAACCTTTTTAAATCTGCTCTCAATGACAGCTGTTATTTCAGGTGACTCAACGCAACCCTCCTCCAGCCCTTTAACCTCCTGTCCCTCTGAATCCAGGGTCAAGCTAAGCCCCTCCCCTTCAGACCGAACCCAACCATCCATTCACCACCACCACCACCAGGGTCAAGCTAAGCCCCTCCCCTTCAGTCCGACCCCAACTATCCATTCACCACCACCGGGGCCAAGCTAAGCCCCTCCCCTTCAGACCGACCCCAACTATCCATTCACCACCACCAGGGTCAAGCTAAGCCCCTCCCCTTCAGTCCG